GTGAAGAGAGGGAACTCAGCCACACCCAAAGCAGCAGGGTGGGAGAGTAGGAGAAAGGGGATTAAAAGCCAGGAATCCGAACAAAGGAGCAGTCAGCCACAGGGGTCCAGGTGAGGAGAGGGAACCCAGGCACGACCAAAGCAGCAGGGCAAGAGAGTGGGAGAAAGGGGATTAAAAGGCCCAGAAATCCGGACAGAGGAGGAGTCAGCCGCAGGGACCCAGGTAAGGGTGGTACGAGAGGTTTCCAACAGAGAGAAAAACTTGTCTGTTGGTTTGTCCTACCATGGTGACATGTTGATGTGAGTTTTGAGGCTGAGCCACTGGTGTTTCAAACCCAGTGGGATGCACATGGTGCACAGGTATCAGCCCAGCTTACAGACTGAGACAGACTAGGAAGAAGGAAGAGGCCATCCACTTTTCAAAGAATTGGCCAGGGAAAACCTTATGAATAGCAAAGAAACACTGTTTGATACATTACCGCACAACTTTATGAATAGTTCGGTTAAGTTAGATGGCTCTCAAAATAGGACTGGGAAAGAGCTGCATCATCTGAGTAAACCCAGCTCATATGGATAAGGTAAAGCTTTCAAGGCCTCCATTTGCTGATGTGGCACCATTCAAATTGAAGAGAAACAGCTGCAGACATCCATTAATCATCAGAACATGGAATGTACAAAGTATGAATCTAGGAAAATTGGAAGTTGTCTAAAATGAAATGGAATACATAAAGATTGATATCCTCAGCATTAGTGAGCTGAAATGGACAGGTTTTGGCCATTTTGAATCAGACAACCATGTGTTCTACTATAGCTGGAATGATAGCTTGAAGAGGAATGGCGTGGCATTCATCATCACAAAAGATGTTTCAAGATCTGTCCTGAAGTACAATGCTGTCAGTGATAGGATAATACCATACGCCTACAAAGAAGACCCATTAATACAACTATTATTCAAATTTATGCACCAACCACCAAAGCCAAAGATGAGGAAATTGAAGATTTTTATCAACTTATG